TTTAAACATTCCACTCCCATTGACACGAAAGACGCCCGACCGTTACGCTTCTCAGGCTTTGTCGTAATAAATTCTCTTCCGGACCGATTCACGTATCGTCGAAATTATTGCACGGAATAAAAATTATATTGGAATTCTTTTTTATTTCTTCGCGATCGATGAACGTATAGGAATGTAGAGTTATTATTTCTTGACAATCTCGGTGAAGCATCTTCTAAAACGAGAAGCGATATTTGACAATTTTTGTACAGCGTAAGGGTCGTATGAAACTTTTCGCCACTTTCCACATATATTCTTTAACATTTCAGAGTCGCGTATCTTCGAAAATTTTGCATTTTTGAAGGAGGATTTTAGTAGAAATATCGCTTCTCGTTTTACCATTCAACACGAGTCTCCCCTGTTAAAATGGGGGGTGGTAATTTGGCGGGGGACAGTAAAGATTCGTCGTTGTATGGCGGAATGGCGGTAAAACGAACTGGTACGTCGATGTATGGCGGTATTAAAATTTAATTTCGAAGGGAGTCGCATCGATGGGCAACGCGTGCCCGTAAATATGTGGCTTCCGGTTTCTCGTGGCACCTGCACTGCATTCGTTGGAATTTCCAAGGCCTTGCGGTGCCACGGCTCTAAATAATCCTCGAGTTGGTAATATCACTTGGTCCACTAAATTTCTGCGAGCTAAATAGCAAGAGACTGTCGCTACGGCGCCAGCTGCTAGGCACAGTGAGAAATGCCTTATCCTCTCGGAGGATTATAGCTTACCACGCATAATCGTCGTAATGAAATTTAAACCGGAGGCTCGGCGCGAAGCATTAAATGCAAAACCCATCGGTTTTCTCCCCGAGTATTGGCTTTGCCAAAACGTAATTGCGTTTTCTTTTTCACCCAAACGCAAGAAACTAATGCACCGTCCATTTCTCTCATCTTTTCCGCTCAAAAAACGGTTGTGTCCTCTTCGACGGCGGAAGGTTTTACCATTTAAGGGGCTCTTCTATTGTATTATTGTATTTTTTTATAAAGAAACTATGCAACTTCTTGCATTGGCGATTTTTACAACGAGAAATAGTCAAAATTAGTGATAGTACAGAGAAAAAGTGTTCACTCGTGGCTTCCATGTTTAATAAAACCGCTTAATTCACCCACTTGACGCTAGTATAGTCTAAATTAACGTCTCAGTTTCTTGGAAGTAGTTTAAAGTAATTCTCTTGGCAAATATCTGTTTTTGAAGCGCTTCGAGACAAACCATTTTTCATCTCCTGTTATCATACGTTACAAACGTGTGGAAATAATGTGATAAAATGAAAATTACACTCATCTTTGGTTCGAATGTGCACAAAGTGGACGATGAGGGCACGGTTGCAATAGTAGTTCGCACGAAATTAGGGTGGGAGCACGTTGTGGGAGATGAATTGGAGAACCAATTGGTCGATTACAGTTTACAAATGGAGTCAAAGTTCTTTGGTCCGACTCTAAATGATATTGAAGTAATGGTTTGTCGATTAGCCACTGGGAACGACATTCAGTATTCCTTTTGATACTAAATCGGTCGGATCTATCATTTCCTATCCCATAAACGAGGCAAAATTTCGCTTTCTTTGGTCTCGTTCATCAAATAGTACGGTTGAAAATACCAAAACACCGTAGCTCCAAAGGAGAACGATATAGGAAGTGTGTTGCGATACAGACCGATTTTCATTAAAATTTTATAACGTTTTGGCAGAGACTAAACTGCACCGTGTTCTTGCGCCATTGATATAAACTTGGTTGAAGGCAGAGGTAGAAATTGGCAGAGATATTTCTCAGCGAGGATGTTTCGTGAACTAGAAATTCGCGTTCATTCGTCTGTAAAGCGATATCGTAGACACATCATTCCTAGCATTTTCTTTACGCCCTACGGACTCTTTCAATACGAGAAATCAGGACGATGGGAATAAGTAGGAGAACAGAATTTGAAAATATCTCGGCCACAACCAAAACTCTATCAATTAAGGTGCATTCTTTGCAATCGTTGCTCCGACATAAGAGATCAAACAAATCGTATTTTGGGTTGTTTTCTTAAAGTCGGAGCTTCTGAAAATATTTTCAAAGTAAAGATAAAAATCCAGATAAAAGAAGTAACTTTTCTTTTATGGGAAAGAATAAACCGAGATTCTTAGGAAAATATCTTCTGGTCTTTTGATGGAGAATGTAATGTAGAAAAATAAATGATTTACGAGAACGTGTTCATTTGTGATCGCTGTAAAGAGGAACGCACAGAGGCGAAGCGGTGGCTTTGGCGTTAATGACTTAACAAATCGATTCGAACTCCAGACGGTAACTTGTAACGTTATTTTAACTACATTAGCCGGAAATTGCATTATAATTTCCTAGCCACCATGGCTGAACACGCATCGTACATAATCTTGCTACTTGTAGTTTCAGCCAACTCTGTGTAACTACACTGGGAGAAATTGACGGAGACATTCTGGGTTCTGACGTTTCACGGGCACGAAATTCTGTAAATACGAACGCCTAACACGATCCCATTAGGATTTTAAATTATTTTAATTATAGTGTAATTTGAATCGCGTCTGTGAGATACGTGTGTAATTAAAAGTAGTCTTAACGAGGTCGTGTTCGAATTTATTTTCGCCAGGAAAAATCTTTCCAATGTTTGTTTTTTTTTTTTTGCAATGCTCTCGTGAAAATATTATGATAAATGCAGACGTTGTAATGAATCAAATTCTTTCCTAATTAATGACGAATACAAAATACAGAACAGTGATTTAAATTTTTATTCTGCAATTTGAATCTCTATTTTTCTTCGTTCCAAACTTCATAATAATAGAATAGAATAATAAACTTTAACGTATATAAAACGACACATGATTTTATTTGGATGTAAACTCAGGAAATAATTTCAGGTTAAAATTTAGTAGAAATAGTGTTAATCTAGTGAATTTCCACGAGTGCCCGGATAGCTTAATGAAATTAGAACCTAGTGGATTTGCTCGTGGCAGAGTCCTACTGTTACGAGAATATATACACAACCCTGGAATCTCACTCTAAGTCTCACACTTACCCTAAAATACAAATTTCCAGAGGTATTCTGAGGAACGATGTAACCTTGTTCGCAAGTTTTGGTAATCCCACGTGTAATCGTCTCCAGGTACCAGAAGATTATAGCAAAATCTTGTTAAACTGCTTCCTTCTTGTCAAATACAGCGATCATTATGACTTTACCAACTGACTGAACACCGTAATACGCCCGGAATCACGTTACACAAATTACTAAATCAAAGTCCCTTTACCAGAAACCTTGATTTTTCCTATCAAAAGTATTCGTTCATTTACGTTTTGTTTATTCCGTAAATATTCTTCATTAAATACTGCACAGTTAATTCGTGCTTCCCTTGTGCACGATTTAATTAGTTTTTCAAATTAAATATCTCGACAAAGTCGCAGACAGAGATTTAACGAATGGATTTAAAATTTTGTGTCCTTTAGTTACGGAGTAAAGTTTTATTCTTTTATTTTGTAGCCTTGTCGCACAATTTGCAGAGGCGTTAGGGTAATCCTTGGTGAAAACCAGGATTAAAGAAAATCCCGACAGATCCTGCAAGATGAGATCTATAAAACGGAAGTATTGACTCAGTATAGACCTTTAAAATGTAGATTTAAGGACAAACAGAATAGTTTCATAGATCACACACTTCGTTCACACCCAGTCGTAGCAATATTTATGTCACACCAAGTATCAGTATCTTTTTTATTTAGAATATGTCCTTCCATGATAAACAGTGGTCGTAAAAAGTAGGAACGGTTTTTCGAAAAGCGTTGGAAATGGGAGAGACTTCGCGGACTAGCTTTCAATCGTACGATCGTAAAGTCAGTTATTCTGTAACAAGTATGGACCGGAGAAGCAGGGAAAACCGGTTTTCCGTTGCTTGCGACAGTTCAATTTTCACCAGCTGAAAGAACGAGACAGAGTTCCTCAAGTTTCACTCCTCCATGGTCTTTCCTCTTTTCCTTCGTCCCCCAGGTCGCGTCGACACTTTGGAACCTAAATTTCTTTCTTTTTTTTTATTCCTTTCCCTCGGTGTTGGCTCCCGCCGCGTGAGACTTAATTCGTCGGACGTCTTAATCAAAAGTTACGATTCGCTATTTTATCCCAAGTTAAACGCCACGATGGAATTATGGGATTGGAACAGTCGAAAACAGCCTACAATCGCTCCAACTTTATTTGTTGTTTAATTTCGAGAGATTGGGGATATATTTTCTAAAGTCCTTTGGCTAATCGTGAGTTAATAATTAGTGTTTGCTTCGTTTCTGGGGCGAGTCAATCGACTTTGATAATCAGCTTCGATTAATGGGATAGTTAGAACGGAGAAGGGAATTAGAAAGATACGATCGGGGGGTATACATATACACGGTAGAAAATGGACGACATTGTAGGAGGTAAATGGAAGGAGACGCGGAGGTAGGTTTAAGTAGGCATAGCTTCTATCGTAATCCACGCGTTTCCGCTAACGAATCCCTTAAACTTTTGATGTTATCTGCGTAAGAGGATTTTTCGTCAGAAGATGAAGGGAGAATTAGAATTAAGGCATACAAATCTTCCCGGATAACGAACAATTCGTTCTGGTCTGGTTCCGTTCGTTAAATAATGAGATCGCTTGAATTACACCGCGGTAACGAACATTTATTACGTTTTACGCCTTTTTACGAGGTACCAAGACTCTCCTTTTTTTTTTTTATACTTTCTGGACTCGGGGAAATAATGGCCTCCTAACAGTCGATACTTTACGAGCCAAACTTGTTGCAAGTTCTCCTGGTCGCAAGTTTTACTTAATTTCCTCGAAAAGATCATACGTTTCCCTGGAAATAATCTGATTTTAAAAATGTTTCCAACGAAAGAGAATCAAATATTTCCTCGAAAATATTCGTTTGAATTTTTTGTTATCGTTGTTGGTATTTGCTCTGGTAATTTTTATAAACGATGGATATATTTATTTTTTCAGGCAACGAGTTGTTTGGAGTTCTCCTGGCGTACAGAGCGGCGAACAAGGAAATTCGTTTAACCGGTAATTATATTCAAAACTTTATTTTAAAACGTAATAACTTTAGCTGGTACGTTTCATGCATAGTAACGAATAATTTTATTATACAACGATGAATAATAATATTCGTTGCTTTTCTGGCTCTGGCTGCCTGCGTGTATATAGGGTGTTCCGTTTAGTACGAATAATTTCATGTTTCCATATACTCTTTGCGATGTAAAAGAAATGATCACGATTCGAAAAGTTGTTTTTCGAGAATGGAAAAATTCATGGAACTTTGATTGCTCCCAGAAGCTACTACAAGCCCATTGAAATCTGATTGCTTCTAATTAATAACTTTATTAGAACTAACTGACAATTGTAAGCTTTCGTTTCCCTTAAGCTACTTATTACTTATTTCAAAGCTTCTGGTTTCTGAATAATTCGTCGTTAATTGGACGATGTCTTCCATCTAGGAGCACTATAATTATCTATGGCAGTGCTGTGATAACATGGTGCAATATTTACTTTAAAATTAGGAACCGTGGGTAACTGGTTAACAGGCCAAGCAAATAATACACGTTTATTTAAAGTAAAACTTTGATCAAGCTAGGTGTGTTTGGCAAATTCTAATTTTTTATACGAGTAATTTCTTCGATTACGTTTCTGTGGAAGTAGACGATGTAAAGGCTTTGTTTCATCCCAGTTTTGTCAAAGACACCGCAGAATAGAATGTTTCTATTATAGTTGGGTACGATACAAGGATGGAACGAAAGTTTGGCGGTACACGGTTGCTATCATCGATTGCGTAGCGTGAATTTCAGATCGTTATTTACCTTCCCAGGAGTTCGGAGACTGCAGCAAGATCTGGGCTCGTATGCAAATAGATATTTCATTCCTGTCTACGGGAACAAGGATTGAAGTTGGAGGGTAAGGTGATTTTCTCGGGGGAAATTCAGCAAAGGGCACTCTGAGCGTGTCGTAGATACGAGCCATTTTCCTTGTTTCCCGTGGACCGCGAGATCTCAGAACCGGCGCTGTCCGTCGAATTTCTTTTTTCGATTTCAGTTCATTTCCCTCGATGATACGCCATCACATCCGGTCGCGCGACTACCGATTGATTCGTAAGATAAATTAGTAAAGGATCCCGTGTCTGTTCCCGTCCATCGAGCGGTATATTTAATTATTTTCAATCCGCTAGGAAAATAGGTAACATGTGCCAGGCAGGAGTTAACTTTGCATACGTATGAGAAACATCGATTTCCAGCCAGCGAGGGGAACAGAGATGCGTGAAAAAGGAAATGGAGATAACGAGGAAAACAGAAAATATGTCGGAAGAGGGTGGTGGCGCAAAAAAATGCATGGAGTCAACTCGGATGAAAGAAGGAAGGGAAAAAGATAAAAGAACACGAGGACGTGACCGAGGATAGAGAAAACAAAAGTCAAGAGAGAAATTAGAAAAAAAGGAGGGCCCTGAGAAACAGCCATAAACGAAGAGGAGAAAAGAGGATGAGTGATGAAGCCACCATGGGTTTCGGGGTATCGCAAAGAGCGAATTTCTACTGCCATTCCTGTCACTTCCGGGCACGGAAACTCTGTCCCGAGTTCTCTCTTTAAGCGTGCAGCAGATGTTCTCTACGACATTCGCGAACGCCAGAACTTCACTTCAAGGAGGGAAATGTGCTTAACTAGCCGTCACCACCCGATGCTGTCCGCCATTTCGACTCTCTCTCGATTCCCCTTTAACCCTAAACAAATGCTGCGACTTCAAACGAATTTTAAACATCGGGAACTCGAAACTCGCAAAAGATCGACTTCGGTGACCTCCTTAAATATTCATGCGCACTCTCTGACGATCTGCTGATAACAGATCGATCCAGTGATTCGGATGTTAAGTTAAAATTCCATTCTTTATCGTATAAAAGTCTATTAAAAGTATTAAAACTTTAGACGCGTGTACTTCCGAAACTACTAGTGCTTTATTCAAAATTCAACCGCCATTGGCAGCGGCAAAGCTTCCCCTTTAAAATTGGTTTTTGGTTTTTGTCGATCCGACTTCCCGTTTCGGAGATATCGTAATTTATATGAAGCCGTAATTTTTAAAAAACTCCGCTTATGGCGCTTCCCGTGTTACGGCGGGCCACTGACCTGCATTGAAATTACTAAAAACTTTAATTACTTGCAGTTCCAAAACTACTAGTGTTTTATTCAAAATCGAGGAATCGTCAGCGGCAGTGAAGCTTCCTCTTTGAAATGGCTTTTGGTTTTTGTCGATCCGACTTTTCGTTTTCGAGATATCGTAATTTATGTAAAAGGTAATTTTTTCAATTCGACTATCGCTGTCTTCGTCTAATGCGTCAGACCTCTCTCTCTCTTTCTCTCTCTGGCACGTGACTCGTGACTCGTGACTCGTGACCCAGTGCCCCAGTGTTTACTATTTCCGCGGTCAATGACCTCGCGCCGATGTATAGAGTGAAAAGTAAACAAACTCTTTGAACCCCCATATCTCCGGAACTAATAACGCTATCGACTTGTTCGACCGCTCATTTTAAAGAGCATTTAATCCTCTATCCGATGACTATACCAACTACTATAATTTATGTCTCCTTCTATGTTTATTTTGTCATTAACGATAAAACTAGATTAGAAATTGTTTATTTAATTGAAAATTAATTTGTGTACAGTATGTTTGCGTAAATATTAGCCAACGAAGATGAATATTTAATATTTCTGTGTACAAGTTCGTGAAACTCGGGGGTATAGGCACTGCTATGGGCACATCAACGACACGAGATAACATCTAGTACACGATCCACCCTATATCAGCCTAGGGAGTCTGAGTTTCAGCGAGTAACAATGTACGAGTTTCAGTAGCGCACCGATGTCGATATGATGGAGACCCATGGGTGTAATCGACTAGATTCTCTGCAGATAATGATTGCGAGGTGGTTTAATAACGGATTACCACTCTATTTATTGTTATCGTTGGCGAAACGTCACGGAATAACGTTATGTATTGACGTTACTCGCGATCATTTCCGGTTAAATAGCCACCCTTGCATCGGAACACGTTGCTTTATCGATCTCGAAAATTCCATAGATATTCAAAGCCGAGTAGAAACTGGTGTGACATAATCGAGTTACATTTTTCGAAACGATGGTCCCATAAATTCCACGAAAGAAACGAAATCGATAGAGAAATAAATAGTCTGGGGTCTTATAGGGTCTTAAATCGAAGGAACCCTGGCCGATCATGGTGCAATATTCGCAAATGAGAAGCCATGTGTTGCTCGGGACGTAAATCCACGCGGAACGACGATCTGTGCTACAAGTATGAAGTATAAAAAATGTGGCATGCACGGTAAGTAATCGTGGCGTATCTCGCTGAGCGTGGCCAGTCACCAGGAAAACTGGAAAACCGTTCGTGCGTGCATTCTTCGTGCTTTTTCGAGTGAGCCCGACGCTACGTACGTCGTAAAACATTTTTTGATTTATGCATTGTGTTGCGAAAGCACGCTGGAAATTAAGTATCGAGGAAATACACGAAACGCTGTGCCCGTTTCGGGAATTAAATATTCACGCATGTTCGTCGAGAACTTTCCGACACCCACGAATTGTTTTGGCACCGTATTAGCGTCCGTTGCACGAATTACCTTTCGAGATTGCATATTTCTCCCCCGATGAAGCCTCCCTTGTCCGTTGTCGCGAGTCAATCGCCTCATGAATATTAAATCAGGTGTGCTCACGGCCTTGTACTTGATTCCGTAGTTCTTGTTCATAATGCATACATTTCAAGCGAAGTGACTATATTCTTACACCGGCTTACAAAATATCAATTTAACGCGATGAATATTCAAGTCGAGGGACCTGGATTCGAGAAGTACCAAGACTACGTACTCTGATATACTTCTCGACAAAATAATGGGACAAATAGGAACAATAATACGTACACTGTTATTCGACGGAAAGCGAAAATTTATTATTTCTTTAAATCCATTTGTCTGACCATTATTCGGCATTTCTAAGTTAAATTTTCCAAGTCTCTCGGAAAACAATGCTTGGGAAAACTCTGTGGAGGAGAATGTAAGCTGGTATCTTTTTGTCCCGGGTGTGGGAAAGGACGAGACGATTTTCAGAGATCGATAATTTTAAGCGAGAAGGCATTACAGTTCCTGTCGACGCGTACACGCGATAGCGAGCAAAAGGTTCCGTTTTCAAAGAAACATATGGTCCCGGTCCTTTTAGTTCCATCTCTTTCTTTCCGTTCAGCCAACTGGTCTGACTCCCAGCCTTACAGCTCTCGCGAGGAGACGCGAAAATCGATTCTGGCGGGTCGCGAGAGTACAGGAGAGGCAACGAGAAGAGACTAACTGCTCCTCTCTGTCATTTCTCTTCCATACGATATCGCAACTCGTGCCTGTCCGTTGCAACAGGGTCTAAAGCATACTGCCAAGGTCTACTGAAAATCCCAAAATGGTAACTTGGTTCGTGGCTTAGCCCCGACGTCGCTAAGCAATCCCTGTCATAAGCCTATTACCTGTTTTAATTGCATCCATTAGCGGTACCCCTTGCATACCCTTAATCCTAAACTTCGTTCCCCCTTACAATCTCTTTTACTTTCTGTCCTGGAAGAATAGTCCATACAATACACGATCTCCGACCAATCAAACTAGAGTAATCCTGGCGGGGATAATACTAGTCCAAAATGTGGAACATAATTTGATCGTACGAGGTTTTGTTTTCGAGTCGACTCGGAAAATTTCAGTAGAAATGTCGAGTAATGGTCAGACGCGTCGGACAAATCGCGTTAAGTCTGCTATAAATTTTTAAAATTCAATTATCTCGAAACCCCAGCACTGGGCAACGAAATTTCATTTACTTTTTCATTCCCTCATCAATTTTCTCCATTATTCTAACAAATATAGAAGACATAATTCGAGGTACAAAAATTAAAAAAAACCCTATGCTCGTTTGGACCACATTTCTTTACAAATATCGAAACTTCGAGCTGCTCTATTACCATTAAACCAATTTTACTTATCGAT